GCAGCGACCCCTCCTTCCACACCGCCTCGACGTTGGCAACACTGGTGTCGTTTAAACACTAATTGCGAGCACAAATTTTCCTTGGGTGTGGCAGAGCCCCATCCTCTTGTGGAGATCGACTCTTAACACACCGGAAACTAGACCTGGGGACGGCGCACCCTTGGATGCAATGTGTTGGTCATGGTTTTTCTTATTCTTCTTCATCATCTTTTTTCTTCATCTTACCACGTCGGTAATGTGTTCGGCGGCTCATACATATTCAAAATGTAGTGGACTGTTTGGCTCCTTCTGATCAATGTGAGATCTGTCATTCCATGCCAGATTGCAATTATGTTTGCCAATGCGGGGCTGTCAGTCCCCAGTCGCCCCTCCTTTCCTTGGGCACTTGTTCACTTGACCGACCACGTCAAGGTTGAAGCAGCCGACAGGCCAACCTATTTCGCGAGCCGGAGCCCGTCTCCGCTTTGTTGTGCGTCCTGGGGATTTTCCGCGTCGAACTGCGCGGAGCCAGCAGGTAGACGAGCAGCTCCTTTCTTTTTCTCTCTTCCTCCCCTCTCACTCCCCTCCCTCACGCTCCCTCCTAAAGCCGCGTGCAGGAGTGTCGAGTTCCTCGGGGACAGGTGGTGAATGCATTTGCAGAAATAAGGTCAACAGAGTGGTTGCATCGCGGGGGCTCGCGGTGTCATTGTCGTGCTCGCACAGCCGTTGGGCTGACGGAAGAGGGGGCAAGGTGTCGACGACGAGCAGTTAAATGTTGCACAACCACCACCGACGCGCAGATGCACATGATGGGCTCCTTCGGCTCAAACTCCCTTGGCAGACCAGCGACTGGGACCCGAACTTTTGTCTGACCTTGTCCAGCTGCGTAAAATACATGTAGTTGGCTTGCAGGACCAGGCACGATCTTTTGCGCCATACCTTCCGCAATGCTCCAGTAGAAGAGGGATCACAACGTGAGTCTCGGCCATGCAAGTCTCCCACATTCAGAGTCGGGCCCGAGGAATGGAATAAAAAGGGGGCCAGCGAGGAGTAATACAGGTACACTAAACAAAGAGGGTGGCATGGGGGAAAGAAAACAAGAGATGGGAGCTACAGGGGGAGGGGGTTTGCAATTCGTGTGACTGAGGACGAGATGCGGAGCTCGCTAGGAGAATCATTGTTGCGCTCGTCGTTTCTCACGCAAGTAGGGTGCCGTGCCGATACAACCTAACGAGCACGCGTGGGGAAAGGGGAGGATGAGGATCATGGCTCCCCCTCCGAAGCTGTTATTAGCGGGAATCTAATAACCATCAATTGATGCCGTTCGTCCATCCCCAGTCGTTCGGGATTCGTTGGCGTGACAGACGTCAGTCAGGGAGGAGCTACCAGTCTGGGGCAGGATCGCATAGGCACCCTGACACCTCGGGAACATAACCGCAAAACGGGCGCAATCAACTTGGCCCATAGAACAATTGAATCCGAGGAGACCGCCCTGAATTTGGCGTGTGGATGAGAGGCCGGACAAGATCGACTGATAGGACCCCGTACCCACGAGTTTGCTGTATTATAATTTGAGGCCGTCGAGAGAGAGAGTGTGTGTGTGTGCGTGTGCGTGTGAATGGGATGCTTGCCAAGGTGAGACCCAAGCCGCCTTTGCCATCCCTTTGAGGGTATCTTAGGAATCAGGGCTTCCCATTCGCAAACCGTCCCGTCGCATGTTTGGGCGCACAAGAAGATGGGGAAAGGAAACACCAATACGTGGAGTTCGCGTCTCGTCCTGGCGCAGCCTAATACTCTTGTTTGACTGCGCGCGAGTAGGTGTTCATGATGATTGACATTGACATGCTCATCGGTCCCCCAACTACCATGTTCATTCATTGATGGACTCGACCCCCCTTGTCTAAAGATGGTTGGGACTTGGGTAGTGATTGCCTCTTGCGAGTAGGACTTATTTCAGTGAGATCCAGCAGTCATGACGAGCAAGGGTGGAGACACCCTCCGTCGGCTGTCGCACTTGTACGAAGTATTACAGATGGCTCCCTCGTCTCATAATGCCGTCCACCATCACGTCCAACCGGTCAACAAACAACGGGGTTTCACTTTAATAATGGTCAGTCACAGCACAGCGAGAAACCCCTCCTTCCCAAGAATGGGAAGACTCAAGATGGAGATGAGTGGGGCAAGGCCGCCAATCTCGACTTAAGGGTTAATTGAGGCAACAAACATGGACGCTTGCGCGGAACTGTGACGAGGATCGATGGCGTGCCGCCCGGGCGGACCGCTTCCTCGTGCACTTTGCAACCCCTCCACTCCTCCTGACCACGAGCAGTTAAATTGTAAAGAAGATTACTAGTGCGCCTTGTTGTGCCGACCCGACCGCCTTTTTTTTTTCTTTTTCCTTTTCTCTCTCTCTCTCTCTCTTTTTTTTTCTTTCTTTTTTGGGGTTCTTTTTCACTACTGGTAATAATCTGTACACCCCCACATCTAACCTTGGAGTGGACGCTATTTTTTGATCTACCTGTCTGGAGCCCCCCTTCTCTATCTCGCTCAGGTCCCGTCGCCCTTTCCAAACTTGGATGACCGGTGTACTGCCTTGCTCTGCCCTGTTCTGCACCATTTGGTGTGGTGGAGGCTGCCCACGCCCAAGTGCACCTTGAGTACAGGACGGGGTATACCTTCCTCGATCGGACTCCACGAGACCCACGCACATATCAGGGAGTGGATGCATCGGCACCTGGGAAATAATGATACCCCGTAGGGCTTCTCAACTAACAAAATACGACATCCCGCAGGTCTTGAAACGACTTTCATTGCCTACCTGAACACTAAGACATTTTTGGGGTTTCTTTTCTTTTTCCCCTCTTTGCCTTCCTGCTGTGCAGACCTGCGGAAATTGCCCTCACAATACTGATGTGCAAGCTCTATTTGATGGCCGCAATATTACGTTCTGCTTCTCTTGCTGGCACCTGTCATTCCCACCGAGAATGCTTCCCACCATTATTAATGAAGTGACCGATCAACCGTACATGGAGTCGCTCAGGTTCCCAATCGATCCCAGTGACCCTTCCGCTAGGTCCTCTGGTCTTCCTCGTTTTACATGACCACCTGTAAATCGCCTCAATGCCTCCATATCTGACAAAATACGGGGCCATTGTCTGGCCGAGGGCTGATTCTCGCTGAAGAACCTCGTGATGCACCGTAGGAATGGAAATAGGAGGGTGTCAGTCGGTTACCGCTGTGTCCGCTGGCACTGACTACAAAACTGTAATCGATGTGCTATCATCGTCACGCTCTTGAGCCTCTTCGCCGGCATGAAGACCAATCCCCCTCCCCCTTGCCCAAAGAGACAATGATTCCTCTTCTGTTGGAGAGAGGGATTTTGGGTGGCAGGACGAGGTCAGCGCTGAGGATCCAACACCCCGCCCCAAAACAAAAAATGAGGGCACATAGACATGGGAGGTACGTACTGAATGGCCTCAAGTGCCCAAGTGCTGAATCCCCTTTCTTCTTTCCCATCACCGCTACCCCTGTCGCCCCACTTGATGGTAATTAGCTAAACATACCCTCCCTTCAGTCGCACACGCCCCTGGAGGTTTCCCCGGCTGGAATTCACCCCCGGAGCTGGTCCACGACCCCGACCGTCATGCCCGAAAACTTGGAACCCTTCTAGTCCCTCCGCTAGCACCTCGAGCTAACATCCCCATTCGTCGCGCTGAACTGGCATTTCCCCTCTAACGAAAGGACTAGCTTGACCGTATGTGCAAAGATTGTACGAAGTACCTTTTCCTTCTTTCTTTTTCTTTTCCTTTTTTTTTTCTCCCCTTGCCAGCTTTCCTGGGATAGGAACACTCTCGTACAAGGGCCTCTTTATTTTCTTTTTCTTTTTCTTTTCTCCTTTTAGCCCGCTCCGTCAAGGATGTTTGCTTATCCCTTGGTCATACAAGTATTGTTGGTCTCGTTCCAGTCACCGCCATCTTGGAGCCAAGTTATTTCCACAGCCGAGCATGGCCCTGGTGACCTGCCCCGTTCATCTGGCCCCTACCACTGGGCATGGGTTTAAGTTGGGGCCAAACCTATTCGTGTTGGGCAAGGTAGTCCTTGTCTGTCAACCGATGGGTGTTTACCTTTGTCCTGGGTTCCTTTTTGTGTCCTATTCCCACTCCCCTGACCCTTTGCTTCTTCGAGGAGCTTCGTTGATAACTGGTGTCCCCCCTTCCCCTTGACACCAGACTCTGAGACTCCCGTCCACACAAGTGCCTGGCCATCAACTAGTATATGTAGCCATCGCAAGCCACATCGTCAACCCATCGATCTTCTCATCTTCTCTTTCACGCGCTCTTCAAGACTCTCCACCCATCCATCCTTTGACACTCACACACACACACTCACACATACACACTCACACACACACACACACACACACACACACACACACACACACATCTATACACACACGTACACACATAGACACACAGACATACGTCCACATCTACACACCTACGCACTCATTCGCATATATATTCGCATCAGCGTCAAGGCGCGCGTGTACACACGCTCTTGTCCATCTCACCAGCACGCCACGCCAAAGTGAAACTTGTAAACCTACGCGCAATCTCAATTTTCTCGCACGAACAACGTAGGTAGGGCACAATCGTTTCCGCACCCGGCCGCTCTACACCGAGAAGACCAACCGCTAAGGCGCGTAGTAGTTGTCTTGTCAACAACATCCCCGTCTTGCGTCAGTGTCCATGAGCTTCATCGACCACTAAAAGGAGTATTGAACACCCACGGAAGGAGGTATCTTGTCTCCTAGCTGAACCCGGCCCGCGGACATTTTGGCCAGCTAGCGCCGACAAAGTCAACTTCAACCCAGAGTTCTTGGGGAACCGTTCCAATCTGAAGTGAAGAAACTGCTTTGGACATCCGAGACAAGATGAAGAAAGGCTACGGTACCGGGGTTCCCGCCGGAACCTCCAAGGTGCGGCGAAGGGAAAAGAGCTTCCCCTTTCCCGAAGCAGCAGATGCTTATTCTTGGTTTGTCATATCCTCCCTCCCTGCACCACGGCGAAATGGTGGAGGCGCCCGGCATCTGGAAGAGGGTGTATCTTACTAACACGGGTCGGTAACCACAGCGCTCTGCCGGATCTGTGAGCCTATTGCTTTCATGTCCATTTTCCCTTACATCTACTTCATGATTGAAGACTTTCACATCACGGATGATCCCAACAAGATCTCCGTGTATGCTGGGATGGTCACTTCGGCGTTCACCTTGGCAGAGTTCTCTACGGGCGTCTTGTGGGGAAGACTTAGCGACAGGCTTGGCCGCAAGCCTATCCTTCTCATGGGCCTAACGGGAACTGCAATCAGTGCTTTGATCTTTGGATTTGCGCCTAGCCTCTCCGTTGCCCTTTTTGCAAGGGCAATGGGTGGTCTGCTGAATGGGTACGCCACCCCCTGGCCCTGGCCCCGGCCACCGCAACCCCAGACCCTCGGGACGTTGAGCTAACTTGGTTGTTGCAGAAACATTGGGGTTCTACAAACCACGGTTGCAGAGCTTGTGACTGTCAAGGAACACCAGCGTAAGTCATGATCACCTAGATCTTCCCCCGCCAAACATGGCAGAACAAGGAAGCGTAATCGGCCATCCGCTCTAACCTCAGTCTTAGCACGAGCATATACGATCATGCCTCTGGTGTGGTGTCTTGGGTGAGTGACCTGATGTAGAAATGTTAAAGTGAGAGCATGAGCTGACGAGCATGGGTAGATCGATTATTGGTCCCATGATTGGCGGCGCCCTCGCCCGGCCCTGCATTAGTTATCCCGACCTGTTTCCCCGGCACGATCTGGGAGAAGTACCCGTACCTGTTGCCCAACCTGTTCAGTGCCATTGCGGTCTGCTGCGGTGTGTTGATTGGCATCCTTTTCCTGGAGGAGACACATGCCGGAAAGAGGGAAAGGCGCGACCCCGGAATCGAGCTCGGGAAGCGGATCAGCCAATGGCTTTCTATCAATACGTGCCGAGTTTCTGGTCGAAAGGCCGAGAAGCAGCCCCTATTGAACGAGTATGAGCAACTGCCTGGTTACGAGACGACGGAAAACTCTCCCGAACTCACGTCAAGCCCTGGGTCAGGCGCACCGGAGCCTCTGACCTCGAATCTACCGGGGAGATTGCTGTTCCAGTAAAGCAGAGCAACGTGATCTTCACCAAGCCTGTCGTCCTTAACATCATCTCCTACGGTATCCTTGCATTGTAAGTCTACGATATCAGCGCTTCCCTGTTGGTGGAGGGATGGAGGGTGCCAATCTTGGAAATAGCCATGGATAAGCTCGCTAACTGACAGTAAAATCATAGCCACACTATGACGTTCGATCAACTCTTCCCGGTCTTCCTTAGCACCACTCCCCCGAACCTGTGACAGAGATTCAGCTTCCGTTCAAATTCGTCTCCGGATTCGGGCTGGACACCAAGGAGATTGGTGTCATCCTTGCTGTGCAAGGCTTCTATTCCATGGTATCAACCGTCTTTCTCTTCCCGCTCGTTTGCCAGAAGCTGGGCGCACTGAAGCTGTTCAGGCTTTTGGCAATCTCATACTTCCTCCTGTACTTGATGACCCCGTACGTGGTTCTCCTGCCGGAGCGCTATCGTATGGTCGGCATCTACATCATGGTCATTTGGAAGTGCACATTTTCCACCATGGCCTACCCTAGCAACGCCATCTTGCTGACCAACTCGGCGCCAACCCTCCTGTCGCTGGGGACCATCAACGGTGTGGCGGCATCCACGGCTAGCCTTTGTCGCGCATTTGGGCCAACGATTTCAGGATTCCTGTATTCTCTTGGCCTTCAGAGCGGCTACTCCGGGTTGGCGTGGTGGTGCAGCGGTGCTGTTACCATCGCTGGCGCATTTTGAGTCTACGACTTACCGAACCTCGTGGTCGTCTTGACGAGGCCGATGAGAACCCCAACGACGCCCCCGAGCATACGGCCGAAGCAGGCTCAAGTGGCCAAGATCGCAGCCACTAATCCTTGGACGAACGTTTACGAAGAATTTGAGTGTATTTCTCCCCGTCGCCACGGCCTGTCATCTTGCCATTCAGCAGGCAGACCTTTTTCTTCTTTTTTTTTTTTTTCGCTTTCTTTTTTCTCTTCTTCTTTTTGCTTTTTGGACGACATAATAACCTCTTTGGTTTTTCTTCTTTTTAATCGCCATGAACACCTTCCCATTTCACTTTTTGTTTTCTCTTTCAGGCGTTGGTCCTTCAGCCCTACGTGTTCTAACGACAAAAGACTAGGGGATGGCGTTCTTCACGGAAATTATAGACGGTTTTGTTTTTTTCCCTTGCACTTGTTTCTTGGGATGGAGGACAAATTAATAAAAGCATGGGTGTGGCAATCATTCGGGGTGTGGCTGATGATGGCGAAGGCTGCTCGTCGTTTTTCTTTTTCTTTTCCCCCTTCCTCCCTTTTGCTTTTCTCTTTGCGCCTTGGTCCTGTCTCCTGTTTCCTATACAGCTTTGTTTGATGGCTCAGGCCATTTGTCGTTTTCATAATACCCCTGTCGTGGTTGCTGGTGATCTCACGAGACAAGCTACGTGCTGCCGGCCTTTTGGTTGAGTTGCCTGGGCCTGGCTTTTATACACTTGGTGTTATCTTGATAGGTCATGGGAGGGCTTGTTGTCTATGACCCAAACAGTCCTCTCTGCCTTGCAAGGAAAACAAAAACAAACCCGAAACCGAAACCGACATCAGAAGGAAAGGGGAAGAATGGAAAAGGAAGCCAATGGGGATGGCTCGGAGCTGGAAGTAGATATGATACCATGAAGATACCAAAGCAGGATATACTTATATATAGTCGAATATAGACGGATTTCATAAATAAGCTGAGACTTTGTTTCCAACCTTGCTTTAGAATCCGCAACCCTGAAATCCGGGGCGGCTTGCTGGACTTTGTGGCTAGACACGACTCGGGCGCGAACAAGAACAGTGTATTCTTTGAGGGCGACAGGTGGAGAGCCGATTTCGAGTGCAGTTATCTCCCTACAGCACCAACTTGGGGTGGTGGGTGGTACCCGGTGGCATGCCAAAGGAGTATTGAATACAATGGATCCATCATGGATGTATATTGAAGAGCCCTCGATATCGGAAGCCCGCTTCTAAACCCACCACGCAACCCGGTGGCCGAGTTCAGCGGCAATAACCCATGGGGTTCAAGTAGCGTCGAGTACCATTGCCTTCAAATATGACTCCAAGTCCAAGGAAAGGCGAGAAGTAGTTAAAGGGTCTCTTGTGCAAAATGCTGTAATATCCGGCCTTGAGCATTAAGCTTGCTTGATCAATTGGAGCTTGAGAGGGAGAGGGTTGCCCTGAGAGCTGGCTCGGCCGTGTTACCCCCACCAGGGAAACTTGGACGTGGAGATTACGAGATCAATCAATTGGTGCATGGAACTGTTTCCTTTTCCCCGTTCCCTCCCCCTCCCCACCTCGCGTCTACCAAAAAAAAAAAAAAAGAAACCAAGGGACCGACCCCCACCACGCGAATAGTAGAGACCAAAAATCAACCACTCATCAATTGACCTTGTGCCGCGGCCGGGTCACCGAGTTCCCGCCTTCCCAACAAGTACCAGTTCTTGAATCGAATGCGGCAAAATTTCCCCACCGCCCGCCGTTTCGCAAACTACATCCAAAATCTTCCCTCCTCCATCCTCTCTTTTCACCCCCGAAAAATACCCCCCTTCGAGCCGAGCCGGCTTCATTCCACCCGCACCTCGATCGTCCGGGCCCTCACCAATGTCTGTCCGAGCTCCGAGTAGATGACATCCGCCCCTCATTCTCTCCGCTTAATCCCGCCTTCGCCCCTCGATTGACGCCGCGACGTTTCCCCCTCCTCCCTCCCTCCGCTCCACCTGGAATCGTCAGCCCCTCCCCTTCTTCCCCCCTCGTCCGGGTCTATAATCGCGCTCTCCTCCTCCCCAGCCCCGGCGCAAGCCAGCCCGCGGTACTATGCCCAACTCACAGCATGATCCGCCCTCTCCGGATCATCAACCGGCAAAGCGCCAGCGCCAGATCTCCGTGGATCGCACACCGCCCTCGCCCGGGCATGAACAGTCTTCTCCGAGCGTCGATGCGCACGCGCATGCCAAAAGTGCGGCCGGGCATAGCTCCAACTTTCGCAACGTCAGCGCCTGCAACCGGTGTCGATTACGCAAGAATCGCTGCGACCAAAAGCTGCCGAGCTGTACCAGTTGCGCAAAGGCAGGGGTTGCTTGCGTCGGCTACGACCCGATTACGAAAAAGCAGATTCCAAGAAGGTATGTCGTTGCGATTTCCTGTGTTGAGAAGCGCCGGCTTTTGCTATTGCCCGTGCTCGGAAGGAGAGGCGCGGGGCCAGGGAAAGGGCACACACTCTTCAAGATCCTCTCTCCTCGCAATGGTGCTTTAGGCTGACTCGTATACGCCCCGGATAGCTATGTCTTCTACCTAGAGACGCGCGTCGAGCAATTAGAAAATCTTCTTGTGGAGAACAAAATCTCATTTCCGCCCGCCGAAGATCTCGAGCTATGTTCGCGGATCGGTTCCGGGCCCCGGGGCGGCCCTCCGGCGCGGAGACGGGTGTTTCCGAATCACCCGCCAGCAAGAAGCAGTCTACTACCGGATCCGATTCGGCGGCCCCCGCTCGCCGAGATTCCAAGGCTTCGGGCATGCCCAACATTGTCAGCTCTACCAAGCCACGCTCCCTCGGTGCCACGTCGGGCGTCTCCTTTGCCCGAGTCGTTCTAGCCGCGGTCCAGTACTCGGTATCCGATCAGACATCAAACCCGGACAAGCCCGGCGTTCCTAACGCGTCCGCCACTTCTACCGCCAATCCCTCCGCTACAGCTGCTGCACGGGCGTCGGCGGGCGCATCTACGTCCATGAGAGAATCTTTCTTTGGCCTCCATACGAAACCTAGCATTCGACCTGCAGGCTTCCCGAACAAGGAGGTTGGTGCCAAACTCGTAAACCTCTACTTTCAGCATGCCAATCCTCAGATACCAATCCTGCACCGCATAGAGTTTATGGAAATCTTTGACCGGGTCTACTCGACAAAGCCCGACGCTCGAGCGCCCCGCGACTTGTACATGCTCAACATGGTATGCGCCATCGGCTGCGGTGTTATCGTGGATGATGGACCGAAACCCGATCCCCGGTCAAGTGGAAGTGGCATGGATATCGATCAATCGAAATCAGTTCAGGCCGAGCCCGAAGAGTACCACGCCAGCGCCATTGTGCACCTCGAGTCGTGTCTTAGCAACAGCGGGAACAGCCTTGAGGTGCTCCAGGCCGTCCTCTTACTAGCCGATTTTGCCCTCCTCCGACCAGTGCCCCCGGACTATGGTAGGTTTACTTCATCGCGCGTATCCTTTCGTCTCTTTTTCACCTGGTGGCTAACCCTGGGGGTGGGAACTCAATAGGTACATCGTTGGTGTCGCCATGCGCCTCGCTATCGATCTCGGGCTCCACTCGGAAGACGGAAGTGACGGAGATGCTGCAAGTTCGGCCGCGAAGGTGAAGCAGGAGAAGGATGAGAATCCCAGGCTTGCTGAGATGCAACCCAACGATAAGGGCAAGCGCCTGTATCAGCGAGATATGCGCCGTCGGCTCTGGTGGTGTACGTACGCCTTCGATCGCCTGGTGAGCGTGTCTGTCGGACGGCCCTTTGGAATCAGCGATCAGGTAATCACTGCCGAGCTCCCTTCCCCGGTCGACGACAAGTACATCACCAAGGCCGGAATCTTTGCTCCAGACGCGTCTGAACCGAGCTACAAGACTGTGGGATTGCACTACCTGAGACTGCGCTTCCTCCAGTCCGAGATCCTCCAGGTCTTGATGTACAAGCAGACGCAGCTTGTACGAGCCAGCAGCCAAAATATCAACATCCCGGACATGCATATCCGCCTCCCGTCGCCCTTCCTCGTCAACTTCGACTCGTTTAGGTCCTGGAGAATTGACATCGACCGCCGACTCTACGAGTGGCGCATGTCGGCGCCCTCGCACGAGCAAACCGGCGTTGCTTTCTCCACCGAATTTCTCGAGCTAAATTACTGGCAGGCCATCATTCTACTTTATAGGAACAGTTTGAGCGTGCCGCCCATGTTTGAAGGAGAGTACAACACTTCGAAAGAGGTGGATAGTCCAGCGGGGTACCCCGCCGAACTAGACGAGGATGAGGACCGCATCTACCTCAAGGTTGCCGAAGCGGGCCAAAAGATCCTGCGCCTCTATCGCCAACTTCACCTGAATGGCCTTGTCAGCTACACTTACCTCTCAACTCACCATCTCTTCATGGCGGGCATCGCGTATCTGTATGCTATTTGGCATTCTCCAATCGTCAGGAGTCGATTAGTACGTAGCCCTTCACTATCCCCCACCCCCCCGGCTTCCCCTTACCTTCCTTATCCTCCACCCCTCTCTTAGATATACTTTTATTTTCATTCCCTTTCTCCCTCTTCAAGGGGTAACACTTGATCTTGTCTTTCCAATGCGTCATGTGCCAAATAGCTAACCCGACCCCTAGACGATGGATGAGGTGGACTTTACAATCCTTGCGGCGAAATCCGTGTTCACCGACATGATTGATAAATGTCTCCCGGCAGAAGCTTGCCGGGATGCCTTTGACCGGACGGCGAAGGCCACGATCAAGATGGCCAACCACAGCGGCGGGTTTGGCGGTCAGGGCTCTCGCAAACGTCGGTCCAACGGCCCCTCGCGGGACGGCCCGGGTATGGATTGGCGATCCTCCAGTGACAGCCCTTCCGCTACGAGCATTTCGGGCCAGACGTCCCGGAATAATTTCAGCTTCGATGTGGACAACCTCTCATCCCCCGCCCTCTCTGCCGCGGGGAGATGCCTATATCCCCCGTATCTCGCGGAGCAAGACGTATGAAGACGCATACAGCGTTATGCAGTCCCAATCAGCCCTGAGCCCCTCGGACGTGAGCGGGCCGGGAGCCCAGCAGAGCGCTTCCCCGATCGACCCGACGCTCCTCTCCACGCCGGGCCTGAACAGGCGCATGGGCCAACAGCAAGGCGGGTCCGGGTTCCTCAGCCCGCAGCAGCGGCAACAAGGAGGGTTCCAGCCTAGCCTAAATGATCAGCCGGATCTCCAGTCCATGGAATTCCTCCAGGCGTTGCAAGGCGGCATGCCGTCCGGGGATCTAGGGAGCGTCGACCCGCTGGGTTTCGGGCTGAGCTGGGACGCGGGGATCAACCAAGACCTAGACGGCCAACAAGTCAATCTCTTTGATGGCTTCTTCTTCGGGGGCCAGCAAGGCGGGGGCCTTGGGGGTGGTGGGGGTCAGTGAACAATCTCGACCGTTTGGGGTCAGCACCTATATGGGTTTTGGGATCGAGAATATGCTCTCGCACCGTTTTTCTTCTTTTTCTTTTCTCATGGGGAGCTGGGGAATAGGATATTCCTTTCGGGTTGGGAACAATTTCTTTTGCTTCGTTGGTTCCGAAGTTTCAATACCCCTTGACAGTTAGCATCCTACGGGTGTGGAATGTATGTCGTCAGTGTATGTGCAGCTATCAAGTCTCTGTATGTGTTGGATACACCAAACGGGCCAAGAAGTGGCTCTCAAGATCTAAACCAACAATCAATTCGGGAGTTCTGGAAAGCAGGTTCTCATTTTATCTTTTATTTAGGGATGAGACGACCTGGTTCCTCGCGCATTCTCTCTCTCTCTCTCTCTCTCTCTCTCTCTCTCTCTCTCTCTCTACTTCCTTGCTTGTCTGGTCTGTGATCTTCTTCTTCCTTTTTTCTCCCTCCTCCTTTTCACCACCTCCAGTGCAAACGTTAGGCGTCCGTTCCCCTCTGGTATCGAGGCAGACGACCCATTTGGTAGCCGTAGCCCAATATTGAAATTCCGAAGAGAATATTGAAGTGAGCGTAAGCATTGGAACGACCAACAATAACCTCACTCGCGGGGTGGCTTCCAGGCCTGGATAGACCATTGATGCCTTTGTCAACGCATCCATGTCAAAAATTGCGATTATGCATTCCCTAATTTCCTACCAACGCCGTGGTACTCCACAACCTGAATTTGAATGTAATAAGTAGTGCCGGACGAGCTTAGCTTGTCCTCCTCCCTCCTCCTTCCTTCCCTTCCAATCAATGTCCCTATTTCTTTCTTTTTTTTTTTTGGGGGGGTTCCTTTCCTCTATCATCCCCCACTATTCATTCTCTTCTCTCCCCTTTTACGCCGTCAGAACTTATTTAGCCCCCTTGGGCTTGGCTTCAGCCTCGCCCAACTCTCGCACAAAGATCTTTGTGCGCCCTTCACCCGAGTAGTCTTCCTGTCCGGTCTCAAAGCCCGGGCAGATGCCAATGGCAAGGTGCCGCCCATCGGAGGAGAAGGCGAGCGCGGCGACGCTATCGGGGAACTTTTGGTACTGCTTCATCCGCCTCTTGGCCTCGGCATCCCAGAGGGCGACGTGGCCATCGCCGCCGCCCGTGGCAAAGGTACCGTAGCCCGGATGGAAGACGAGGGCGTTGACGGGGTAGACGACGTCGCCATCGCCCTCGGGCGCGGCCTGCCTGTGGCACTTAAAGGCGTACTTGCGGGCCTGGGATTCGGCCGAGTCTTCGAACCACTCCACGGCGACGCGGCCCTCGATACTACTAGTAGCGTAGCCGGCATCGTTGGGCATGCAGGAGACGGCGCGGGTGAGGAACTTGAGGGAGGACTCGCGCTGCTGCCAGGCGTCGAGGGAGGATGCGCCCGAGGAGAGGGCTTCGGAGGCCGCCGACAGGTCGTAGATGGAAACGAGGCGGGAGGTCATGGCCACGACGAGCTTCGTCGAGCTCGCGGCGAGGGCGTGGGGCTTGCCCGGTAGGGTGACGGTGAGGGCTCGGCGGAGGGTTCTTGAGGCTGTGGAAGTGGAGAGTGGAGTCCCACGAGGCAGAGACGAGGATTCCTGTGAGAGAGCGTCGCGGGGGCGCAGAGTAGTCAGATTGCGCGCTCGCAGAGTAGTTGGGGGTTTTTTTGCGCCGGTAACGAGGCAAAGGAGACTGGCGCCGGGGTTTGGAATTTACCTTGATCGCGGCAGTAGACCACTCGCCTCACGGGCGCAGAATGCTTGCTCAGAACCGTTTGCTCACCAGTCGTCAAATCCAACCTGCAATAGCACGTCAGCACACGGCGCGGGGAACGACGGGGTGCTTACGCCCGGAGGCGAGCCAAAAAAAAAAGGGGCTCTTTACCTCAGGACCTGCCAGTCCATACCCGCGCTAAAGGCCTCGTCCGCATCCTCGCCAAAGCACACGTCCAGCACGGGCGCGCGATGCTCGAAGCTGCGCACCAGCTCGCCCTGGCCATCCTCGCCCTTGATATCGTACAGGTGCACGTGTCTATCCCAGGATGCTGCGAGGAGCTTCGTCGAGCTCTGGGCGCCGGGGGCGAAGGAGAGGGCGGATACCGCGTCGGCGGGAGGCGGCGAGAGCTCGTACTGAATTGCTACAAAATCGTTGGAAGCACGCCGCGATGGTGCGGCCCGGTTTTGCTGGTTAGCGGGCCGTGGTCTAACGCGTTGGGGAGGGGAGCGAGCAGAAGGTTTTGCTTTGCACCTTCTCATCGCACAATTGGGGAAGGGAGGGAGTGTGGGCTTACCAGGCGCCATGTTCAAAGTTGTTTTTGGGGGTTGATTGTCTGTGTTTGGCGGGGATCCAAGGCTGAGCTCAACTCTGGAAGGGCGGATGGAAATCAATAAATCACAGTTGGCCGGGAGCTCCGAACCCAGAGCCCAGCCTGTGGCGGACGGCTGGCGGAAATGAAGCCCCATCTGCTAACAGCTGGCATGTCGCGACGCCTCGACCTCACACAGAACGAGGAACAAGAGTCGCTCTTCAACTTCACATCAATGTTATAATTTCTTTCTCAGTTGTTGGAAATCTCAAGGTGATGATATGCCGACACGGCATCCTAGGAACACCCTCTTTTGAGGTAGATGGTATCTGAGAGGTTACCATGCACCTACGCTAATCCATGATTTTTTTATTATCTACCCTTCCTCATAATATATCGCACGGCGTTGACCCTTTTGCATGCTGCCACGAGTCCAGCCCGGTGAAGCCCGGAGTCTACCGGGCCTGCTCCGAGTAATTTGGAATCAATAAGATGTATGCATCCGCCCCTCTGCTTCTAGGCCCACTCCATCTATTCCAGTCCCGGGCTGAGACAAGCGGTCGCATATCAAAGTAAAGAAAAGCGCCCCAGAGGTATAGACAGATGGGGTATTAGCCGGACCACGCGAGGCTCACATTTGAAGACATGTCACATGCGACCTACCGAGGGTGGCACAAGACCAGCGTCTCTTACACGAAACAAGTGGCTTTCCACCGTTGGCTTCGTCTCGTACTTGACAACCAGCAGCAATCAACAGTTTTCACCTTGGCCCGCACGAAATAGCACCCCTCGAACCGCTCCATACTATGCTTTACGGAGGAAATACCCATCACGCAGACGGCATCGTCCTCGCGACATTCAAGCATCGCGGCGTTCCAACGGTACCTTATTACCGTGACCAAGCCTCGTGACATGAGACCGCACTCTTCACCGGACAGTTGTAGGTCTTCCGGCCGGCTGTATAATCAGGATCCTCCGCGATTCGAGAAATGGCCGAGACTGCCACGGTCGGAGAAGTTTCAAAGACTGATGCATACCAGCGCTGAGGAAGAGTCGAGCGTTCGTCTAGGGGATTTTTCGCTTGATCGATGGGAAGGATTCTACTGGAAGCCTCGCGAGCCACTTGGTCATCAGGGGATTTGGGCGACTATGCGAGACTACCACGATCATGTTCTATAAGAACGTGAGTTGCGGTCAACAAACGTCTCAATCATACGAGTGTAAGTACTGGTCAACGCTTCTACAATCAGCGTCTGTTACCTGAATCCCTTGGGCGATTGGCATGAGGGTATTTCATTGCGATTCGGTCAATCATTGCCCGATTCCTAGTACACTGCCATCTGCTCTGAGAAATATACAGATAACAGAGACAGCAAGGGGAGAAGGAAAAGAGCGGGATAAACTGGCCTTAGGGAAAGCGAAGTCGGCAGCCTCGAAAACACCCATCCCATCATTAGGCGAAGACGCTCGGGTGAGTCGCTTTTCCGCCACTGTAGCACTATTTACGCGCCTACTCAAGCCCGAGAGGCAACAGGAGAACAGGAAGCGGAAAGACTCCCGGCCAAGCCTGTTCGTGATGTTAGGCAGGAGAGAGCAAGATTACTCGGTGTCGACATGGGCCGAGGGGCAGTGTTGATGGGGTCGAGAATGCACAGAACACGAGAGCATGGGGCGAGATGAAGAATTCCGAGACGGAGAGACCGGAGCACGACCGTTCCGCCCTCCATCTCATATGTTGAGATTTTCTCAAGGGCACGGCGAGTCGTAAGCCAGACGCCAAGGGGGTTTCCTAGGGGCAAAGGATCCTTTTGAAGGGGTGCGAAAGGTAATAGCTCCATTGCCGACCCTGGCAGCACAAGCCCTGGCGAGTCAAGCTGGATCCTGCAGAATCAGTGGCAAAGCAAAGGAAGTTAGAGGCGCCGCCCCCTATCGCACAAACACAGCCGGCCTTGAGGTTGTTTGCAAGGGGATGGCACGGGCTGCGGACGGCGGTGATGCCGCGAGAACTTGGCCGCTGGTGACCCGGTGGAGGGGAATAGCAGAAATAAAGTGCTACGCGCCTAATACAGGTGGTAGGCAAGCAATGGGCAATGGGCAAGAGCAACACGCGGTTCCATTCACCACGGCATCTCCGTGGCTTCTGCTAAGCGGAGGGACCATCATTACGTAGGATAACGACTAGGAGATGTGGGTATAATGGGCAAGGCCCCGGGGTGAGCGGCGGTTGATCGCTGAGTCGTCGCCTCGTAAAGATCGTCTCCCCCTCACTCACAGGTTACCTGTCGTGGAAGCTAATAATAATGACTGCTACGAAGGAAGCGAGGTTTGCCCCAGATTGGTCCGGTGGAAGTGATTGAGGAAGCGCTTGAGTTTATTATCATCCTGAGCAACGAAAAGGGTTGCCCTTCCCGGCTTAGCCAAGCCATACCATGCCAAACTTGGGGCGGGAGGAGAGAAATATTGGCAGACTTTCACCAGGCATCGTCGAAGGGTGGAATTCCTGTCATGTCCTACCCCAGTCCGCGACCAGGGTTGACGCACGAGGAATAGTGAGCGCCACGCCGTTTTTCCTTTTGTTTTCTTCTTCTTCATCTTCTTTTTTCTCGGACACTAGTGTATGTATTAATATTTTCTTACCTCGTCGAAAAGGGACTGCGCAAAGGCCTCCTGGTTGATAGGTAGTTCCAATCGCCTCATCACAACTTAGGACCGCCAACGCCAGTATTACCCCCGCTGGCTCGTTTCAATTGGCATGGAGCTCTCAACCTTTACAAGGGCCCATGTCTTGTCATGGGGAAAGGATGAAGCTCAAAAGGTTCTCGGTTCCCACTCTTTCAATAACGACAGCGGCCGACCGCAGTAAAAGGTATTAATCATCGAGTTGAAGGTGATACACTGAGGAGGGAGATCCTGGTAAGAGAGGGGATTGGTCGAGGGTGGGGATGAAGGATTGGGCACCATCATTCTTCGCTATCCCTAGGTTTGCGTGATTACAAGTAATATGTTTCGTGGATACGGGTCGGAGAAGCAGCTCCAGACTTTTCATGGGCACTAGTAAGAGGCTGAGCAGCGATGCAGCGATGCAGAGGCGATGAGAAGAAGAAAAAGAAGGAGGAAACAGAAGGAGAATGATGGTACGACGGTGGCCTCGTGGGACCCCCACATTAGCAGAGTTGGTCAACCGACGAACGAGCGGAGAGAGAGAGAGAGAGCCGGAAGGATATGACAGCCAGTGCCTGTCAAGCTGCGGATCGAGCAGGAGGACAGGCTCCAGGCAAAGGATTTGCTGATGCCACGACAGGGCGGTACGATAGCAGGGGCAGAAGCCAATGACGTCGAAAAGGGCCTGAACACCCATGGCCGGGGCATTCTCCTACTCTGGAAAAGAGGGCTCGAGGCACCCTGAGAAGAGGGCAGGGCTTCCCTCTCTTCCCTTTCGGGAGCCAATGCGGGCAGGGTTGGATCCGGGTTGGGCCTGCACTCTATTATACGCTGCGCAACTACAAGTAACTCATGAAGAACAAGAGAGAAGATCGGGAACGAGTTCATAATACACGAGGAGGAGATGAAGAAGAAAAGAAGAAGAAGAAACCAGATATGTGACGGAGGCTAGATTGAACAGGGTTAAAAGACTCGGGAGAGCGCCACAAGCAGAAGTGTGAGCGGGAGTATTAGGAGCAGGAGCAGAAACGGAGACCAGGACCAGGACCAGGGCTGGGACTGGGACTGGGACGAGGTTTAGAAAGGAACAAGAGGGAGCAGGGCAGGCAGGAGACAAAAAACAGAAAACAGAAGACAGGAGACAGGAGGCAGGGCAGGGCAGTAAAGTGGGTAAATAATAATAAGAATAACGGATCAAATGGGCGCATGTTGAATTGGCTCCGAGGGCGAGATTGTCTGACGGAGATGTCAGTGGGTCCATTTCTTGCCAATTGCCGCTGATGATTTGTTCCGTTGGCTCCTTTCGAACCCGTCCGTGGTTCGTGTCAGAAAGGGAAAAGGGACGAGTCACAATCCAGTGGGCATCCGGCCGCCGTTGGGCCTAGACCTGCTCGACGTGCTCGACCTGCCGCGTTAGTCAAGGTCGAGTAATACAGACAAGGCAAGGCCAGGCCATGGCCGGCATCGAAAAGAACATTTGGAGCCCTTTTGTTCTTTTGTTGATCCAGTCTCGCGAGGAAGTCGATCCACGTTTGTGGGGCCGTTCTTGGCCGTTCTTTCCTTTTTTTTGTCTCTTTTTTCCTTTTTCACTCCTTTTTGCCCCCTTCTTGCCCCCTTCTTGCCCTTCTACCGACTCCTCTTTCCCCTTCTTTCCCGTCTCATGGTGGGTCTTTATCTTTTTTTCTCCGATCATTGATCCATGCCTGCCGCCCGAGATGGTTCCACCTCAACCGTTGTGGATGTGCGTGCGTGCGTCGACGTGGACGTGGACTAGACGACGGCCAGGGTCAAGCCTCACACAGTTCGTTCTTCAATGCCCTCAACTCAATGTTTGAGAATGCGGGTTCCAATTGATACCATTCTATCGAGGTATCCATAGTTATCAAGTTTTTTTCTCTCTCTTCCGTCTACTCTTGATTGGTGTACCCGTGTGTCCTAGACTGTGTTGGTTTCTTCATCAAATCTCAAGATCCCATCCATCATCCCCTTGATCATCCCCTCGCACCCCCACATAGCAGCCCCTCCCTTCATCTGTTGCAACACTTGGATTCTCGACTGAGACATCCGTGGACTGGAAGCCTTGATTAGTCTTGTGAATTGGCCCTTTCAATGTTTCGCCAGCACAGCACTCCACCACTGAAGAGGGCCAGATTGTCGGATCGGCAGTCTGAGGCCGCGTTTTCGTTGGCATGCTATGCTTTGCCCCTAGTCCCTCGTACAAGACACCCTCCGCCATCGAGGGGGGACGACTACCGAGGTATAATTGATTCAATGAGAAACAAAGTGTGATGGAATGTCTTGCTTTTTGTCGGTTTCCTTAAAGAAAAAAAAGTA